GAATTTACTCTTCAAAATATCGATTTACTCTTCAAATCTTGGAATTTACTCTTCAAACTTAGAATTTCTCTTCAAATCTTAGAATTTACTCTTCGAAACATAGAATTTACTCTTCAAAACTTAGAATTTACACTTCAAAACATCGAATTTACTCTTCAAATCTTGGAATTTACTCTTCAAACTTAGAATTTTCTCTTCAAATCTTAGAATTTACTCTTCGAAACATAGAATTTACTCTTCAAAACTTAGAATTTACTCTTCAAAATATCGAATTTACTCTTCAAATCTCGGAATTTACTCTTCAAACTTAGAATTTTCTCTTCAAATATTAGAATTTACTCTTCGAAACATATAATTTACTCTTCAAAACTTAGAATTTGCTCTTCAAAATATCAATTAACTCTTGAAATCTTGGAATTTACTCTTGAAACTTAGAATTTTGTCTTCAAATATTAGAAATTTACTCTTCGAAACATAGAATTTACTCTTCAAAACTTAGAATTTACTCTTCAAAATATCGAATTTACTCTTCAAATCTTGGAATTTACTCTTCAAACATAAAATTTTCTCTTCAAAACTTAGAATTTACTCTTCAAAATATCGAATTTACTCTTCAAATCTTGGAATTTACTCTTCAAACTTAGAATTTTCTCTTCAAATATTAGAATTTACTCTTCGAAACATATAATTTACTCTACAAAACTTAGAATTTACTCTTCAAAATCTCGAATTAACTCTTCAAATCTTGGAATTTACTCTTCAAACTTAGAATTTTCTCTTCAAATATTAGAATTTACTGTTCAAAACATAGAATTTACTCTTCAAAACTTAGAATTTACTCTTCAAAATATCGAATTTACTCTTCAAATCTTGGAATTTACTCTTCAAACTTAGAATTTTCTTTTCAAAACTTAAAATTACTCTTCAAAATATCGAATTTACTCTTCAAAACTTGGAATTTACTCTTCAAACTTAGAATTTTCTCTTCAAATATTAGAATTTACTCTTCGAAACATAGAATTTACTCTTCAAAACTTAGAAATTACTCTTCAAAATATCGAATTTACTCTTCAAATCTTGGAACTTACTCTTCAAACTTAGAATTTTCTCTTCAAAACTTAGAATTTACTCTTCAAAATATCGAATTTACTCTTCAAAACTTGAATTTACTCTTCAAACTTAGAAATTTCTCTTCAAATATTAAAATTTACTCTTCGAAACATATAATTTGCTCTTCAAAACTTAGAATTTACTCTTCAAACTATCGAATTTACTCTTCAAATCTTGGAATTTACTCTTCAAACTTAGAATTTTCTATTCAAATATTAGAATTTACTCTTCGAAACATAGAATTTACTCCTCAAAACTTAGAATTTACTCTTCAATATATCGAATTTACTCTTCAAATCTTGGAATTTACTCTTCAAACTTAGAATTTTCTCTACAAATATTAGAATTTACTCTTCGAAACATAGAATTTACTCTTCAAAAACTTAGAATTTACTCTTCAAAATATCGAATTTACTCTTCAAATCTTGGAATTTACTCTTCAAACTTAGAACTTTCTCTTCAAATATTAGAATTTACTCTTCGAAACATATAATTTACTCTTCAAAACTTAGAATTTAGTCTTCAAAATATCGAATTTAGTCTTCAAATCTTGGAATTTACTCTTCAAACTTAGAATTTTCTCTTCAAATATTAGAATTTACTCTTTGAAACATAGAATTTACTCTTCAAAACTTAGAATTTACTCTTCAAAATATCGAATTTACTCTTCAAATCTTGGAATTTACTCTTCAAACTTAGAATTTTCCTTCAAATCTTAGAATTTACTCTTCGAAACATAGAATTTACTCTTCAAAACTTAGAATTTACTCTTCAAAATATCGAATTTACTCTTCAAACTTAGAATTTTCTCTTCAAATATTAGAATTTACTGTTCGAAACATATTATTTACTCTTCAAAACTTAGAATTTACTCTTCAAAATATCGAATTTACTCTTCAAATCTTGGAATTTACTCTTCAAACTTAGAATTTTCTCTTCAAATATTAGAATTTACTCTTCGAAACATAGAATTTACTCTTCAAAACCTAGAATTTACTCTTCAAAATATCGAATTTACTCTTCAAATCTTGGAATTTACTCTTCAAACTTAGAATTTTCTCTTCAAAACTTAGAATTTACTCTTCCAAATATCGAATTTACTCTTCAAAACTTGGAATTTACTCTTGAAACACGCTTGGCATAAAATGTTTCAAATTCGGCCACAAGAAATGTTCGATTTTTTGCGGATGGCGCGCGTATTTTTTTTTGGAGTCTGGAGACGAAATTAATTTTGGAAATGTGCGCTATTTTTAGATCGCTGCGGTAACATGAAGGGTATCCTTAGAGAAATATGTACTTGGGGGATGAATAGCGTGATATTAGGGGATCAGAATGGTACCAAAGTTGCCATGACTACCTTTATTGTTTTGCCGCTTTCGTGCATTCTTTGAGAGCAATTTCGCAAACAATGGCGCATCGAAGCCAAAATGTTAAAATTGATGAATTTCGGCTTCGAATAACTTTTGTTTTTAAGGCCATCCTTTTATAATATTTGGTAGGACTAAATTTATAGCCTTTATCTAAATTCCTACCGAAGCACTTTACTCGATTTCGTCTTTGATCGCAGTAAAAATGCATTTGAATAAGGCCACCAAATACAGCGTTTCGATGTCAACGCTAATAATATAACGTTTAGCGTCTGAGGTTGCGGTCAAAAGAAAGATGGAATTATCGACCAAGACACAGGAATTGAGGAGATTAGACGAAAAGGTATGTTTAGCATTTGTTTATTGTATTATTTGTACGAAACAAGGGATAATATATTGATATGTTTTGAAAGGCAGGCGTGTGTACTTGTTGACCTGTATATTGTATACATTCTTGAGC